GCGAATTAGTATTCTACAATTACAGGTGAAAAGAATTTCATTTATTTAAGAAAAATTTAATTTATCTTATAACATTGGACAGAGGTTAATCACAATTAACTTCTTTTTAGCTCTTCTTAAATGATTATGAAAAAGTGCCTTTTGACGCGCTTCTTTATCTTACTGGCGAATGCAATTATGGTGGACGCGTTACAGATGATAAAGACAGACGTCTATTGAATTCCTTACTTCAAGGGTTCTACAATGCCGTAGTTATCACTCAGCAAGAGTAAGTTAGTTTAAACAAAGATGATCTAAATCCCGATTTTAAACAATTCACCTTGCAACTTATCTGTTGCTATTTCTTTTAGATACTGTTTTTCACCAAGTTGTATGTACCGTATGCCTCTAAATACCGAGCATCAAGCTTGTGTAGCATACATTCGAAGTTTGCCAATTGATCAGCACCCCGAGGTCTATGGTCTACACGAGAATGCGGATATAACGAAGGATAATCAGGAGTCTATGCAACTGCTCGATGGAGCTTTACTAACACAGCCACAGATTACTGGTGTTGGGGTCGAGCGAGACGTGGACGCTATGGTTTTTAATTTATGCGACGATATTCTATCTAAAATGAGATTGCCCTTCGACGTTGTGGAAGTGGCTAAGAACTATCCAGTGCTTTACATGAACAGCATGAATACGGTTCTTCGGCAGGAGCTGATCAGATTCAATAACTTGTTGCTCGTTATTAGAAACACCTTGGCGGACACGCAAAAAGCCATCAAAGGCTTGGTTCTAATGTCAGCAGAGTTAGAAGAGGTTTCAACGAGCATGAGCATCGGCAAAGTGCCTGGAGCTTGGAATAAAAGGTCCTATCCGTCCTTGAAACCGCTCGGAAGCTATGTAAATGATTTAATTGAGAGATTAGAGTTCTTTCAAAACTGGATAGACTTCGATGCACCAAATGTGTTCTGGATATCCGGTTTCTTCTTTACTCAATCGTTCCTCACCGGCGTCTTGCAGAACTTCGCGCGTAAAAATAAAATTCCAATCGACAGGGTGGACTTCGAATTTGAAGTGACTGCATTCGAAACCAGCGTGAACACTGCACCATCCTATGGAGTATACATAAAGGTACATTTGAAGAAACGTTACTACATGTTTTGAGTACTTTTTAATTTTTCTACTTTCTCTCAGGGCTTATTTTTAGAAGGTGCTAGATGGAATAGAGGAGAAAAGACAATAGATGAGTCAAAGCTCAAAATAATGTTTGATGTTTTACCAATAATATGGCTACAGCCTGGTGAAAAAGCCCAATTTATTGCTAAATCTGTGTATCATTGCCCGGTATATAAGACAAGCGCAAGACGTGGCGTTTTAGCTACCACTGGTCATTCATCCAACTTTGTTTTATACATTTTACTTTTGACAATAGTTAGTGAATCTCACTGGATTAAAAGAGGAGCAGCATCTTTATGTCAACTTGACGATTGATAGATCTATATTTATATGAAAATCAAGGAGAGACAAATAAATAGAGAAACACATAATAAAAATTTGTCAAATAATATAATTGATATTGTAACATTTCAGTAGTTGATTAATCTTACGATCTACTTATTGAACGGTGTAGTTACATATGTACAATCTGTCTCTGTCTGTTCTGGGGCACTTCATTTATGAATTTAATCTTGAATCTCTTATGTGGGATAATGTGTAATTCAAGACACTTAATGAAAAAATTGTTTATTCAATGAAATTTCCATAAGAATAGACAGTCAAGAACATTGTGCCAATAATTATCACATCGCTGTATGATATTGATATTTTTTTTTAGTTGTGTATAGTTAAATATATGTACATATGTGTATGTTAAATACATGTGTAAATGTATATATACAGAAACTCGTATAATAATCTATTACAATTTGTATAACAGCTGATTTTCAGATGTTTATTTTTGCATAACAATTTAGCTCGAATTATTAAACTGATACTGTTTCCCACTTTCTGTTAGTAATTTTAAAAAATCAAATGTTTGAAATGTATAATTCTATTCCATTCTAATAATCTTGAGCAAATAGAACGTTTTCAATCATTGCAAATTATTGGTTGAGCACATTCACAGTCCGTTTGCTACTTAACGAGAGTAGGGTTGGTGTCGGTCGCGTTGTTATCGGCTTCCCTTCTTGAAATGCGTTCGACGTAACAGAAGGTAACGGTACCAATGACGATAGTTATCGTCAATATAAGAAGCTGTATATGAAGGCCGACACGACTGGTGTAGCCAAAACTGATGGCAGCCGCGACCGACTGGAAAAATTTGAACAGCACGAATGCTGATGCACTCTGTTTCGCAAAAAGTGTACCGAGCAATGAGTATATTTGGGTGTTGAAGCAAGCATCACCAAAGCCCAATGCAAGACTTCCGGCCATAGCTAAGAT